TTCGATCTTGAACAGCGGTGGGGCATCTACTGCATTACCGCAGGCCTCTTGTGACTGAGCCCAAAATTCTTGCATGACTTGTTTGTCACGTTCTGGTCTACTTTGCGTATTCTGTGGCTCTCGCCGTCGCAGTGATGGCCTCCATTCAGGGCGCGGCTGCGGTAGTCGTGGAACACTCACCCCTCCCCTTATGTCGAGGCGCCGCAGCATTGCAAGCTTCAGCTTTCCCCGCCGCAAGTGCATCAGGTCTCCCCGACGCAACAGCATCAACCTTCGCCGACGCAACAACGTCAGGTCTCCCCGACGCAGAATTAGGCAATGCCTCCACAACTGGTGGGCGAGTGTCACCAGCGACTCCAGTCGGCTAATTCCCTGACCGCCGGTGGGGATGGGCTATCTATTGTCCACTGAATGTCCGCCCTACCGGGCTAAAGTGCCGCGTAGCTGGGGATGGCGTTCGGGCAATGCGCCATTATGTTTCTACGATTCATATTTAAGGGGCGTCGTACAAATCAAGTGTACGACTCACTCCATTCAGTCTAGACGTGCGCCCACAGCGCTTTGTACAAAATGGCGTCCCCTCGTGATCTACGTAGTAGGTGCCCGTGTGCAGATCTCCTCACGTACCCGAGCGACTCCCCGGGCCAAATCACCGCATAGAAGGCCTTCGAGAAAAGACTCTAGCATGTGTATGATCCGTTGTCCCGAACACGACTCCTATCGTTTGCCTCATCCAGAGCAGCAGCAGCAGAGAGGGGTGTCCTCCGTCGCAATGACGACAGCAAGCAGGAAGTGGATTCACGCGTGGAAACTAGCGTTCCGGATGCGGCCCCGTTGATTACTCAATCCCGTCCGCCCTCGATGATTGATGTGGTTCGGGCCCGTCAACGTCCTCCAGATAGCGTTTGGGCCCCCAAAGTGGCGTTGCTTTCCGGAGCTTGGCCTTGCGCCGCTTTCTCTGGATGTCTCCGTACGGCTCCTTAACAATAGCATAATGATGTGGAAGTGGGTTGTCAGATCGATGGCTCTGGCTCGCACGCCAGCGGATCCAATCAACGCCCTTGCCTTGGACACCTCCCTGCACGCCATCTTGGGCTAAATTTGTAGATGCCATGACAATGAACACCCTAGCAATCCTATCATTGAATTAAAGACGTGTTTAAAATGTGTAAACAAATTTCGCAATCTGGAATTGTTTTGGCAACATGCTTCCTCTCCATGAATCAACTTCCACAAAGATAAATGCGCTCTCCAATCTTCAGCGGGCAGTGGGCCTGCCCGCCGGACCGAATGCGCGCGCTGTTTGTGCCCCAAAGGTTTTCCAGATAACAGCCTGCTTGTTGCGTTGTTGCTGTTGAATGTTCATTACTAAACAATGATACTTGTTGACCCCCCCCAGGCGTCCTGGCGCTCTCGCCTCGGCGCCGGCTACAGTTTCATTGAAAATGAGGCTCACGCTCAAGCGGTTTAGGGGGCGCCAAAACCAGCCCCCCGACAACAACAGCGCTCCCGCTCGAGAGCTTCAGCCAAATCTTCCAAGAGAGTATCCACGCGTTCTCGTTTCTTCTTGCGGCGAAACTTCTGAATCGCACTGCTGCGCCTGCGAATGTGGTTCTGTGTGAGCCTCCCTGCTGCTTGAATTCGGAAGCCATCGTAGCTGCCCTTCGCGAGGGCAGCAAAAGCACTTCAAGCTGGGCCATCAAAGAAGACAGCAAAGGCAATTGGGAGCACATGCGCCCCAAAAGGACCGCATGAAGCGACATCGCATTGCAGTGCGAGGTGCCGCAACTTGCCTCGAAGCTTGCTCCAGTCTCGAAGCCAGCGTTGGAAGAAGGCAGGGCTTTCAGGTCTAGCCGTGGGTGTTTTGGCAACGACGTCAGAGGCCTTCTCGAAGATGACCTTGTTGACATCGTCGAAGAAATCGTCGACGGACCTATCCGGGCAATGCCGTTGCATCGACAAGATGGGTAAGAGCGTGTCCCTCACAGATTGAACAAACTGTGCTCGGCCGTCACTTCGTAAGAGGTACCTGTCCCAGCTTATCGTGATCCCAGCTACGGTGGCGCCCGGTGTCACCATCGTAGCCCACATGCAACTGCAGTTTGGCCTTCAAGGGTCGATTGTCTCGTCGTCTGCCACTGCCCGTCTTGTATATCTGAAAGCCGTCGCCCTTCTGCAAGAGAATTCGTACAACGTCGGCTGCTTGCCGCATTGGGATAGTGGTTAACATATAATCGACCCGGGTGATCCGATCACCTCCGTTTGAATACAAGATGGGGCCGGTCGACACTTAAGTGTTCACCGCGCTCAAGGCAGCATGCCGGCACAACTGTCGCAGAAAATGTCCGTTGACGTTTTCCCGTTCTGGCTCTTCGGCTTCAGTGTGGATGTCTTCGTCGGTCGGGCGATCATGGCCCTGCGAGATGCCCACGTGGCCGTTGGCATCGATCATGATGATGGGCACGGTGAGGTTCGGCAGTTGGTTGATGAAGTCAAGAAGCTCTCTCCAGAAGACCTTTGCTTGTTCCAGGTCACGGGCATTTTGTGGCTCCACCAGGGCGTACGCAGAGATGAGAACTGCGTCGTAGAACTTCGTCTTGAAGCGTAAGGCTCCTATCCGGCCCTTCAGCGCGAAAATGAAAAATAGATGTCTGGGCGCCTGGGGTGGGAAAAACCTTCATGCACCATGACCGGCACCCCTGTATTCTTCGCACCCTGCCCCCACTGGCATACGTGGCACTTGCCTGCTGTTACCATCTCGCAGGGCGCGTCGGTCTTAATGCAGGTCCCGCTGAGGCCGACGCATGCCGCGTGTCCAAACTCCCTCGCGAAGTCGGGCAAGCGCCCTGTCTCCAACGCGGATTGGCACTTCTACTGAATGACTTTGTGACGATGCGAGTTGGCGGGTGGGGCTGGTCTACTCATCGGGGCAAGCTGGCAATTGCATCAGACATCTCCGCAAATACAGCTTGGGGCGGGGACGCTGTTCCCTTGCGCTCGGGCCCGAATACGCTTTCTCTTGAGTTTTAGTGCAAAAGCTCTCTTACGCCACAATGAGCTCAAGATGCGCGAGTGGTGTTATTGTATGAAAGATTGGTTCGGGACCCATGCCCTTAGCGACAGGCCCACAATCCAGCTAGAAGTGCGCATTGCTGTGAGAATTCTGGTTGATCTGTCTCTGACCAATTACGCACATGATGTCGGAAAGCGCCGGATCGTCACGAGTTGCCCGCAGTGCTTGGAGAGTGGTGCGCAGTGTTTTGCATACTTTCAGGCCGCGCTGCAGGAAAGACAGGTGCGCACCAGGAGCAGCGCTCTTTGTTGCACGTGCCTCCCGCCTCCTCGCCTCCTACCCCCCTCCCCCTGGGATCAGATGACCGGAGAGCCGAGCAATCCCTTACCGCAATGGGACTCGGCTCGCCTATGGAGGCGGACGAGTTCTTCTAGAAGTAGCCGATTATCATTCAACCGTTGCAATCGACCGAGGAGGCAACGAGGGAGGAGCAGGCGGGAGCGCACGCGCCAGCCCTCTCCACCATTGCCCAGACTCCGCTCGGCAGCAGAAGTGCTGCGGCGGGCCTGGAGCTTTCGACCTCATCCCCCACCTCGATCCTCGGGAGGGCGGGGGAGGGAAGGCAGGAGCAGGAGCGGGGGGAGGCCCAGCAGGCCGCCGAGGGCTCCCCGAAACCCAGCGGGGCTTCCGCTCAGAGCGGACGTGCGACATGGTCCATGGGGTAAGACACGCGCAGAGGGGGGGGGGGGGGGGGGGCAGGAAGAGGAGGGCTAGCGCATCGTGGGGTTGGCGCATCACGGCCCGAGGCATGTGCGCGGACGAGGGGGCGACAAGGAACGCCTTGGAAAAAGGGGAGGGGGGCCATGAAATCTGGGAGACTTCACGGCCCCAGCCATGCGGTTCGCACAGACACACACACACACACACACCTAATCCTTATCCGCTCTTGGACGCTCCTGGCTGCAAGTTGGACTTAAGAAACACCCGCAGGGGGTCACAATTTGACGGGTGTCTGCGGTCGACTGATCGAATGGGAGATCGACTGTAAAATCGACTTATGCCAGAGCTGATTGTTCGTCGAATCTACGATCGACTAAAATTATTCGTATTTTCGTCGATTCGGCGAGGAAAATCTTGGCGTGAATCTACTATGCAGTCGATCTCCGATTCGAGCTGGACCCCGCGGGTGTGTCAGATGCCCCGCCGTCGATTGGAGCCGAAAGGTAGGGAACCGCACGGGGTCACAGAACACCGCCACCGTGGCCCTGGCTAGAGTATATATCCACTGGCACGCCAGGGCGCATATACTCCACTGGAGTATATGCGCCCTGCGACCCCGTAATGAACATTGTCGCGGGGCACCCACGGCCAACCCAATTCGGAGCGGCCAGGGGGTCTGCGCTGGATGGGTCCCTGGACCCCTCACTGGGTCGAAACTGATCCGTTTTTTTCGGGCCGCGTCCAGCCGTGGCGACGAGGGGGCCTCCTTTCACCCCCGCTTCTGCTGGCCAGAACAATTGCTGGGCCACCTCAGCCACCCAGCCAGCTCATCCTGGGGCACCCGCGGCCAAGCCAACTGCTTCTTTCGCGTGCCTGCCACACCCTCTACACCACACGAGGGCCCGATGTGGCCCTGGCCAGGCATGGCGCACGGCGGCGGTGGTGTAGATGCCCTTCTGCGGCTGCGGGTCCTTGAGCCTTCGAAGGAAGCGGGTCCTGGAGGACCGGGTTCCGCCAGCGCTTGGCCCCCTGGGCCGTCGACGGGCCCAGGCGGTGCCAGCACACTGCTCGGGATGAGAAAGCTAATCCTGGGGAGCACTCCGGGATCTGGGACCCGCTTCCCTCATAGGGCCAGGCCCCATCCCCCAGAGGTCTGGATCCCTTGCCGAGGGTCTGACTTTCATACCCAAACATTGTGTGACGGTCGCGGGGCCCTGCGAAGGCCTTCTAAGGCTGGCAACGGCCAAAAAGCGCCCGTCGTTTTTTTCGCGACGCGAGCATGTCTGGGCCTCTGTCATGGCGGACGCTCGCCCTCACGCCGCGGCCAGGTGCAGCAGGAAGAACTCCAGGAGCGCCCGCAGCTCCTGGGAGGGGCAACGTCAGGGGTGGGCCACCTCCGGGGGGGAAACATCGACCTGGAGTCGGCGACACGTCGCTGGTGGATCGGCGATGGGCCCCCTGATAGCGAATCCACACGGTCCTGGGCGGGGTGGGCTATCGCGTACCTATGGGCGACGAGTGCGCGACTCGGGATCGATGAATCCCCCCCTGAGCCAGTGATCCTCGTCGTCCGGCTCTAGGGTTAGGTCGGGCATGTCGTCCTACAGGCGGATTTTGGAAGACAAATAAAAATAGTAAATCGTCCCCTGACAATTAATATATTATTTTTTACTATTCCTCCTGTTGAAGGCTGCCGGAGAGCATCCCGAGGATGAAAAACCGCCGAGAACCATGGAAAACGTCCGAAACCCTCCAACTGGGAACCTCGAACCTCGAGCGCATCCACCCCTGCACAGTAGGAGCTCGACCACAAGAAGCCTCCCACAAGAAACCCAACCCAGAGACCCCAGGACGCCCATTGATTTTCTAGTGTGGGAACGTCACGCTCCCTACAGCAGAACCATCAAAACCCAAGAAACCAAGGGCACCCTGGAGTAGGGGAACAAAAAGTGACATAAACATGAAACCTCGGAGGTCTGCGCGGATTTCTCGGATCGGCGCTGGGGCCCCCCGGCGGCGCATCCGGCGCGCCAGGGAGGGGGATCCAGCGCCGATCCGAGAAATCCGCGCGGACCTCCGAGTTCTTATGCTTATGCCACTTCTTGTTCCCCTGCTGGAGGCAAGCAGGGTGCCTCTGGGCAGGGCTCCCCGCTGCAGCCCTCGTGCTGCCGCGTGGGGATTGCCTCAGGAGGAGCGCGGCGGGGCCTCGCTGGCCACGGCGGCGGCCCCAGTCATCACCCCCCTCTTTTCCGCCCCCGACTGGCGGCAAGCAGGGTGCCTCTGGGCAGGGCTCCCCGCTGCATACACCCTGCGAAATGCTTAAGAAATCATGGGCTAAGAAATTCACAGTCTCAGAATTTGAATAAAAACCCAGAACGTCTATCAACATCTTGGGATCTACATGGAAAAGTTAAGAATAATCGAGACTTTGGCCGAAAACCTACGTTTTCTTAAGCGTCGCCTGAGGTGGAGCCCTCGTGCTGCCACGTGGGAGTTGCCTCACAAAGGAGGAGCGGCGCGGGGCCTCGCCGCTGGCCACGGCGGGCCCCCCTCGGGCCGGGTCCCCCCCCCGGCGAAGCGCACAGGGACGGCCCGAAGGCCCGAGCCTTCAGTCGGGCCTGTCCCCCTGCCAGGGGAGTTTCGACGACAAATAAACAATACCCCCAAAATGATAATTTTAAAAAGTCCACAAATAGTCCACGAAAAATAACATAATAAAACCCAAAATAATCAAACAAATTAGTTCCAAAATAGTCTGGGGACTAGGTTTGGGGGGTATTGCTTTACCTTTTTGGGGTGTATTTTGGGGGTATGTTTTATGTTTCGTCGAAAATCCCCCTGTATAAGGGGGACACGCCCGACATAGCCCGATCCACTCCTGGGCCCGGAGCGGTCCTATCGTTCCAGCGTCTTGATTTGTGGATGCCACGACAATGGACACCCTGACAGTCCGATCGTTGAACTTCAAATGTGTTCAAGATGTCGGAACAATGGTCTAAACATGTGTGTTAACATGTGATGTACATGTTTAACGCATGTGTAAACCATGTTGTAGACATCTGGAAATGGTTTGGCAACACGCTTCCGCTCCATCGGTCGTCCTCCACAAGTCTTGACTGTGAGTCCTCGCTCGCCTCGGCGCCTGGATGGCTTCGGGCTCCCAGCGGCCGCCTGGGACCATCGGGGCACCCGCGGGGAACTCTCGACGGGAAGCGGCTGCTGAAAAAGCATCCCGAGGAGAGAAGACCTTCAATAATCTTCCAAACAAATACAGTTCTGGCGCCCAGAACCCGGACAGCGGAGCGGTCTAAGACGCGTTATGGCATGTGAGAGAGGCTTGCAAGAACGCCTGGAAGGTGTCTGGGGAGCGTGCAGGCTCGAGAAGGAAGCTTCGCAAGGGCCTTCGAGAGCTTCTCACGAACTGCGGAGAGGCTTGCGGCAAACCGATTGGGAACGAATAGGAACACGCTGCTGGAACACGCTGCGAGTTCAAGCAAGGCGCTGGGATGCTGCTTGACCGGCGCCAGAGAGAGCTCTGGGGCTACCCTGCGCTGCCGGCTTCTAATGTGAAGCCTTTTAGCTCTCTACGAGCTATCCGGGAACAATCCGGATAGCGGAGCAGTCCAAGAGGAGTGAAAGGCTGTGGGAGACGCGTGCAATAAAGCTTGAAAGGATGTCTGCCGAGCTTGCAAGTTCAAGAAAGGAGCTTCGCAGGAGCTCCCGAAGCGCTGCGGTGGAGCTCCAGAAAGGCTTGCGGCACGCGAACCCACTTGGGAACGAGAAGGAAAACGCTTCTGGGTCACGCTGCAGCTTCACGCAACTCGCTGCGGGGATCCCTGCCGGGCACAGGAACGAGTTCTGGCGCTACCCTGCGCCGCCAGCTTCTAATATGAAATCCTCCTACTCTCAGGAACCGAAATTGGAACATAAACTTGATTATGAGATCCGCGCGGATTTCTTAGATCGGCGCTGGACCCCTCTCGCTGGCGCGCTGCGCGCGCCAGGGGGGTCTCAGCGCAGATCCGAGACATCCGCGCGGATGTCCCAATGTCTATGCTTATGCCGTTTTGCTTCCTCGGGAGAAGCCCTCAAAGAACCAACTCCCGAAGAGACCAACCGACACCGATACCGCTACATACTCCCGGCTTCCTCCCGTCCTGAGGAAACCAACAGATACCGATACCGCTACATACTGCAGGGACCTCTCCTGGGGTGCGGTCTGACCAGACTTTTCCGAAGTCGAGCTCCTGCCTCCTCCCAGATCCTAGGGAGGCAGACCCGGCATGCACAGGAGCCGCTGGGAGGTCCCCGCCTTGCCCTGCGGCGGCCGAGCGGGGGAGAGGCGAAGCAGGAGGGAGCAGGGAGGCGGGAGCAGGCGAAGGGCTTCGCCTGGCGGTCGCCTCCTCGCCTCCTCGCAGACCTCCGCGCCTCGTCTGGGGAAAGAAGATCCTCCTCCCCCCCCTCCCCCTCCTCCTCCTCCTCCCCCTCCTCCTCCTCCTCCTCCTCCTCCTCCTCCTCCTCCTCCTCCTCCTCCTCCTCCTCCTCCTCCTCCTAGCATACATGAACGTAAGTTTCTGGGAGGTCCCCCCGTCTCGACTGCAGCATGGCCCCCCGAGGCTCCGAGGCGCCCACGCCGCGCCCCGCCCCGGCGCAGCCCAGGACCTCCGCGGGCGCGCGCACGCCGGCCGCCCCGAGCTGGCAGCGGACCTCTCGGGGGAACCCGTAGAAAAAGGTTATTTCCTATTTTTGTATTCGGCAGCATATCGGGTCGGGCGAAAGGGGGGGATAGCAAAGGGGGGGGGTGAGAATCAGCTCACGTAGCTGATTTTCCCGGCGCCTCCCGGCGCCGGAGGCGGCCATGTATCGAGGAATGGGCCCCTCCGTGGGGCCGAAACCAGCTGCATGCAGCAGATTTCGTAACCCCCCCTTTCCCAATCCCCCCCTTTCGCCCGGCCCGAGCATAGATGGCCGTTTCACGACGTTTGAACTCGCTCGCCAGGGAAAAGACTCCTTGACACTCAGCTCTGCTCGCATTCGCCTCGCTGTCACGCCCCTGAGCGTGGTCCCTGAAAGGGGTAAAAGAGCCCGCCCCCCGACGGACTGAGAACGGGATCTCCGCGGTCACCCAGAAAAGACGCACGATAAAGATGCAAGGGCCTTGGAGGTCCACATCGACACTGTGCGAGCGGTGCGCGGCCAGCGAAAGCGGCCAAGGATGGGCCGAGAAAGAGGGATTAGAGGCCTCCCAGATGGGGTCCAGGCAAATGGGGTGGGAGGATCGCGCCGCATCGGCGATGCATCGGCGATACATCGCCGATGCATCGGCCATGCACTGGCGACGTCGGCGATGCATAGGCGACGTCGGCGTGGAGAAAATTGGGCCCCACATCGAGCCGCATCGCTGATGCATCGCCGATGCATCGGCGATGTCGCGCAATCCTCCGACCCCATCTACTCGGACCCTTTCTAGCAGGCCTAGAGGGGCGCGGCCACCTAAAACGACCAAGGATGGGCCAAAAGAGAAGTCGGGCTCCACACCGAGCCGCATGGCCGATGCATCGGCGATGCGGCGCGATCATCCGACTCCATCTGCTCGTACCCCTTCTTTCTAGGAGGCCTAGAGAGACGCGGCCAGCGAAAGCGGCCAAGGATGGACCGAAAGCGAAGTCGGGCTCCACACCGAGCCGCATGGCCGATGCATCAGCGATGCGGCGCGATCCTCCGACACCATCTATAGGAAAATAACAAGCGCCATAAGCATAAACGTTTGGCGCTCCGCGCAGATTTCTTGGATCTGCGCTGGACCCGCCCCCTCCCCAGGGGCCCGCTTCTCCTCCCGGAAAGTTAGTCGGCGGACTCGTGGCACGACGCCCCCAAGGGCAATGCCGTCTCGATGATTTTTCGCGACGGATGAGGGCGAAGATTAGGGAGGGTAACTCGGCGTTGCCATGGCTCGGGGGGCTAGGACAGGACAGGGCTCGGCGTTGCCGTGACTCGGCGAAAGGGTAGGATAGCAAAAGGCAGGACAGAGAATCAGCTCACGCAGCTGGTGTTCCCGGGGCCTCCTGGCGCCGGGAGGCGCCCATTTATCAAGCAATGGGCCCGGCGGCGGGGCGGAAATGAGCTGCATGCAGCAGGTTATGTACCCCCCCCTTTCCCTACCATGCCCTGTCGTCCGGCCCGAGTGGTGCTTCCCCCTCCGAGGGCCATCTCCATCCAGGCCTTGCTCACGGGAGGCCGGACCAGCACACGGCCAGGCACTTCGGAAGTCCACGGGAGGCTTCCCTCTCCAGCGCCGCACCCCTGGGCGGTGCCATCGGCGTGCCGCCCACTTGCGGGGGAAGGAGGGACGAGGAGGCGGAGGAAAACCAGTGCAAACCCAAGAGTCATTAACGATGTTGGAATACACCCTCCCTCCAAGCTCCCTCTTCATAGGCCCCTACAACGGTTAATTTTCATTGAGGGAACTGCCTGGTTGGAAGACAACCTTTTAAAGACCCTGAAGCATGCCAAAACATTGTTCTCGGGATTTCAACGCCACGGATCAACCTGGCTGCTGCGTCTTGACGATCCTGAATCGTACCAGATCGTCATGTTTGGGACTGCAACACCGCGAACCAACAAAACTCTTGCACCCGCATGCTCCTGAATTCTCCCCGAACACCATGTCTGGTCCATTGATCATGGGAATCAGGAGAGCGAGAGCCACATGTTGAAAAGAAACCGCCCTCAATCCGTGAAGCTCTTGCAATTTAAAAGACATGTGCGCGGCGCTCAGGCGAGAACCACATTTTGAAAACCATCCGCCCTCAATCCGTGCAACTCTTGCAAGTTTTGAAACACGAATGTGCACGGCGCTAAGGCGAGAGCCACATTCTGAAAACCACCCGCCCTCAATCTGTGAAGCTCTTACATATGTTTAAAACGAATGTGCGCGGCGCTCAGGCGAGAGTCACATGTTGAAAACCACCCGCCCTCAATCCGTGCAGCTCGTCCAAATGTTTAAACGACTTTTCGCGGCGCAAAGGCGAGAGCCACATTTTGAAAACCACCCGCCTTCAATCCGTGAAACTCTTGTTAATTTAAACAAGCGAATGTGCGCGACGCTAAGGCGAGAGTCACATTCTGAAAACGACTCGCCCTCCATCTGCGAAGCAGCTGCTGCTTTAGAATCACAAATGGTGCGGAAATATCAGGCGCAACGCCCGGCCCGCCCTAAAAACTGGCATCAGGGTGCGACGGGGGGAAGTTATGTATAAGGAAAGGGAATGGAGGAGGAGAAGGAGGAGGAGGAGAGGAAACGGAGGGAGGGAGGGAGGGGGGAAGAGAGCGAGGAAGAGGACGAGGAGGACGCGGACAGTGGGCAGAAGAACCACGTGCACAATGACCCACCGCAAAAAACATCGAGACCACTGTCAGGAAACTCGCTTGCACAAAAACTCAAGCAGAACAGGGCTGCTCAGCAAACGCGAAGGACTGCCTAGTGACCGCATACTATGGGTGTCGAGGGTTTTTTCGCCCGCCTCGAGAAGAGGTGGGAGGAGGAGGGAGGGAGGGATGAGAGGGAGGGCGGAGGGGAGGGAGAGGGGACGCAGGGAGGAGGGGATGGAGGGAGGGAGGACCAGCGTACAGGGAGGGAAGGAAGGAGTGGGGGAACAACGACAGAGTACCGCTGATCCACGGACCTCTCCTGGGGTGTGCTCTGACTAGAACTTCGACACGAATCCAGCCGTGGCGACGAGGGACGGGCAGCGGCATCGGTACCTTTTCCTCCCGTGATGGGAAGGAGGGGGGGGAGAGAGGCAGGCAGGCAGGTAGAGAGGGAGGGGGGACGGGTCGTGCGTCATTGATCGAGTAGGGCTAGGGGATCGAATGCGATGTTGATATACCCTAAACTTGATGTCTCATTCCATCTACGAAACATCCATAGAGTGGTCTGCAGGTCTGCGGAGCAGTCTGCGCATTTTCTGTCGATTCGACGAATAAGCAATTTTGAGTTAAAGTGGCCGGTCACCTCCTCGATCTGAGTGCGAGGCCGACACAGTGGGCGTGGGGGGAAACGTGCACCTTGCGTCCCCGTTTGGGGCCCTCGGGGGGCTCCATCAGTGCCCCTGCGGAGCCCCAAAGGTGCACCTTTCTCCCCCCCCCCCCCCCCCACGCGTCGCCCCTCCATTTGCGCAACGCCCGCACGGGCGTGGGGAGAGAGCATCCAGCGCCGGCGGAGACGCCGCCCGTGGACGCCCGACGTGCACACGCTCGCCGCGGTGCTCCTCCACCCTCCCTGGCTCACGCGCCCGTCGTCCTCGTCGTGGCTCAGGAGCAGGGGCGGGGACGGGCCGCGGGCAGAGCCGTGCCTGGGGGGCCAAAACTGCTGTCCCTCTGTATGTTATCACGGGGGGAGGGGCCGATGGTCATCGATAGTAAGGCTTTGGGCTGCGCGCAGACAGTCCCCCCAGGGAAAAGTCCCCGCTGGCCTCGACAAGCCCCCGAATACCGCGCCCCGGGGTAGGGATGTTGAGACCGTCCGGGCCACTCGGGGGGCCGTTGAGGCCAGCCAGGGCTACCTGGGGGGCTGTATGTGCGCATCCCGTAGCCTTGACATACCGGCGGGCAAGGAGACAGGGATCGACCGACAGCGCAAAACAGGCCACGAAATTTGGAGCGGCGCACCATGGCAAGCTAAAAGCAGCAGGCAGCTCAACCTGCCAGACTGGCAAAAATGGCGGCGCGCAGAGGGGGGTAGCGGGAGAGGGGACGGTTTCTCAGAAACAGGCTGCTTCTTAGAAGGCGCTGGCCCTACATCTAAAGAGAAGGCCCGCGCCTTCTAAGAAGCAGGGGAGTTCTAAGAAGCCTTCCCCCTTCCCCCATACGGTACATCGACAAAATGTTGCACCACCTGGCGCAGACAAGAAATCGCATTACTTGTCTAACAGCGTTTGTTTTCACCCCCCCCCTCCCCTCCGGTCTGAATATTGGGTTCAATCTGGGCTAGTCGAAACAGCTCGGTGGTGCAACATTTTGTCGGGAGCCCCCGGGCGGCCCAAGGGCTCTTCGCCATGCTCTTCGCCACGCACGCCAAATCGGGGGGAAGGGGGGGGAAGAGCAATGCAGTCTAGGTGCCAATGCGCAGCACAAGTGGAGCAAGATTGCGTCGATGTGCGGTACCTCAACTGCCCGAGGCCGACAAAGACAAGCCCACCCGGCCCTGGGACAGCGCACGCATCAACATACACAGCGCTCGCGGATCGTCAATTGCAGGGTCGCACGCCACTACCCTGCGCCCTGAAGTATAGAACAACAAGAAAAAAAGAAAAAAACACAAAACAAACAACAACAACAACAACAACAACAACAACAACAACAACAACAACAACAACAACAACAACAACACCACCAACAACAACACCAACACCAACAACAACAACAACAACAACAACAACAACAACAACAACAACAACAACAACAAAAACAACATCAACAACAGCAACAACAACAACAACAACAACCACAACAACAACAGCAACAACAACAACAACAACAGCAGAGCGCGAACGAGCGGGGGCCACGAAGTGCAGATAATGCGGGGCCACAGAAGGCAACTATGGGGCCACTGATGGTAGCAACTGGGCCACGTAGGACAGTGAGGGGGACACAAATGGCGACAGCGGGGCCACGAAGGGCATGCACATGGGGCCACAACGGGCGCGACTCCTGGGTGCCTGGGTGTCGGGAGCGCGGCGCTTGGGCAAATTGCAAGGAATTCCAACGCAAGGCCATTCTCCAGTAAGTTGCAAGCAAGTCTCCAGCGAGAGCGCGACTCCAGAGCGCCGGGAGAGCGATTCCTGAATAAATTGTAAGGAAGTCCCAAGCGAGAGCGCGATTCCTGCATAACATGCAAGGAAGTCTCGGGCGGGAGCGGGGGTCCTGGCTAAATTGTGAGGAAGTCTCAGGCGGGAGCCGTTGTTGTTGTAACCCGGGGGCCAGGCGCCCAGTTTGAGCAGGAAGACTTCCCTGTCAAAAACAGGGTGCGGGCATCGCGGGGCACACTTTGATTGAGAAAAACAATATGCACCGGTGGGGGGGGATCAACAACAATTATTCTTCAGAAATGAGAATTCAACAACAACAACAACAACAACAACAACAACAACAACAGCAACAGCAACAGCAACAGCAACAGCAACAGCAACAGCAACAACAACAACAATAATAATAATAGCAACAACAACAACAATAACAACGACAACCGAAACAACAACAACAACAACAACAACAACAACAACAACAACAACAACAACAACAACAACAACAACAACAACAACAACAACAACACAAACAACAACAACAACAACAACAACAACAACAACAACAACAACAACAACAACACCAGCAACAGCAACAGCAACAGCAACAGCAACAACAACAACAACAGCAACAGCAACAGCAACAACAACACCAACAAGAAGAACAAATACTACAACAACAATAATAGTACGGTGTGGGCAGTGGATAAGGAACCAATGGGTAAGGAATCCTTGGTCTCGAAGCCAGTGGAACTTAGATCGTGGATTGGCCATGGATATCACCGCCGCCATACATTCCTTAACGAACGCCCCCACCGTAATCGTGTTGAGAATGTTCGCTCTTACCTGCTCGAGTGTCATTCAGGGTGCACTTCCTAAAACCTCGATACCCGCCCTCTTCGTCTTCGATCGAACCCCTTTTGGGGGGTACATCTTTCTTCCCTGTAGGCCGGGCCCCAGCAAGCGGCGGGGCGGCCGCGGACCGTCGGCCTGGCCAGCGGCAACGCTTATCGGCGGCAACCCGACCCCACGAGGGACGGACAGCAGACCGACCACGACGACGACGACGACGACGACGACGACGACGACGACAGCGACGACGACGACGACGACGACGACGAGCGAAAGCGAGAGCGAGAGCGAGAGCGAGAGCGACAGCAGGGCCACGACGAAGGGAAACAGCGGGGCCACGAAGGGCATGCAGCTGGGGCCGAGGGACGACGGCCACGACGAGGGGCCGAACAAACCGAGCGCAGCCGGCTGCGACGCAGCCGACTGCAACGCGGCCGACCGAGCCGCGGGCGCCCCTTGACCTCCACGGACCCCCGCCGGCGGAGGGACCGCTGCCCCGCGGCAGGCTCCGAGGCCTGCCGGGGGCCCCGAAGGCCCCCGGGAGGTCTCGGCGGTCCTCTGCCAAAGGGCCGTCCACGGCGCCACGGCGAGGCCGACTGAGCCGACGGCGAAGCCGAAGAAACCGACCAAAAGCGAGCCGGGCGAATGCGATCGAGGAGGACGCCGACTGCGACGCAGCCGAACAGGCCGAAGCGCGAACACACTTGCCCTGGGGGCCCAGAGAGGCGGCCAAAAGCATCCGAAAAGCTCGATCCTCGACCCTCGAGCCCTGTGGGAGCCTCCCCTCCCACGTTGCAGTGTTTTGCTCGTGGCGTCGGCCCTCGAAGGTCTCGACCCGACCAGCTTCGCGGGGCCAACTTCTGATCCCGAGCCGCTTCAATGCGATGACGGTCTCAGGCCCTGGGGCCACCAGAAACCACCCTTCCGTCCTAGATATCCGCCGATGCCTTTGGCTTGCACTACGCGGCCCCAGTGGTCCCGACCGCTTCCCCGAGCTGGCTCTGCGCCCCCGATCCTTTCTGGTGGTCCCAGGGCTCGACGACCGGCCCCCGAGGCCGAAAAGTCCACGGGAAACGCCGGGACTGAACACACGCACGCCCTCGGAGATCTGGGATGCTGGCTCCCCCCGCGGCGAGCGTGAGCCGTGGGGAAGCCCGCGGGCCTCCAGGCGCTGGCGGCGGCGGAGAAGCACACGCTGCCCTGCGGCAGGAAGCCCCCCGAGCTCGCCACGGCCCCGAGCTCGCCCCGGTGCCTGCCGGCCCCGTACGCCAGGTGCAGGGCGAGGCGCCCGCCGGAGCCGTGCCCGAGGAGGCCGATGCGCGAGGAAGAAAGCAGGCTGCACGGGCAGGACACCAACTGTCGGAGGTCCGCGGCGCGGGAGGCGCCGCCAAGGGAGCCAGCGCCAGGGAGGGGGGCCCAGCGCCGGTCCAGGGACGCGGCGCGGAGCTCCGAGTGTGTGTGTGATGCGCGTGCGGCGGTTCCTTCCTCGGGATGCGGTGTGCCGCGTAGCCCTCCTCGGTCGTCAGCCTTGGAGGCTCGAGATTTTGCGAGACCCCCCGCGTCTTGAGAGCATCCAGACAGAGGTGTCAAGACGAGATGTTCGGCCTGTGGGAGGGGGGGCGCTTGCGGGCTCCCAGGGCGGTCCGAAAACGACTCGGGCCGACAGGCCGACCTTGGGAAGAAGTTCCCCCCTCTTCCAGAACCCCTTTTCTGGACAATAGAAAACATGGGACGTCTGGGCTCAAGGATCGAGGTTCGAGGATCAAGGCTTTTGGACGTCGTTGGCCTATGTTGGACCGACCTCCCAGAGGCCTCCAGAGGCCTCCAGAGGCCTCCTGGGGGCCTCCTGGGGGCCTCCAGAGGGCTCCTCGGAGACGCCCATGTGGACCACATAACCCTCCACAGCCGTCAGCATCAGATTAACCTGGACTCCGACAGGGAACGCAATCTGACTCGAATCGGCTGACTGGCCCAGAGCAGACAAGGCATAAATCTGAGGAGAGGCATTTCCCCCTTCAAACGACAACGCGACGCGAAGCAAGCCCGATGCCCCCGAGATTGCCTCACGAAGCGTGCCGCCAAAGCTGTGCGAACCAGGAAGGAAAAGATGAGCGGAGGAGGATGAGAACAGGGAAAACGCAGACAGGGTGCCAAGGAAAGGAGGGAGGAAAAGGCGCGACGGCGAGGGTCAGGGGTTGCTGAAAGTGTCCCTGGCCCAAGGTGTCCTCAGCTTTCCGCTCCATCCTGGACCCCCTGGGGCCATTCGGGCCTCGTCGGGTGTGCTCTGGAGGCCGTGGGGGCCTCCTTGGAAGTCCTGGGGGCACCTTGGGCCGAGGACGCCTCTGGCAACGCCTGGGAGGGGATTTGGGCGCCCGAGTTATCCGGGGTAACTCGGGTCCGGGGTAACTCGGGCTTGGATTCCCGAAAAAGGAACCCGAGTTAGCCCTTACCCGAGTTACCCCTGATGATTCGGGCCTCTGGACGCCCGAATTATCTGGGGTAAGTCGGGTCCGGGGTAAGTCGGGTTCGGAATCCCGAAAAACGAACCCGACTTATCCCTGACCCGAGTTACCCCTGATGATTCGGGGCTCTGAGGGATGGCGAGGCGGAGCGCCGGCTGGGAGTGGCGAGGGGGCAGCAAACGCAGCCCGCGAGCAGCAGAGCCGCGGGAGAGGAGCCAGGGGCGCCGAGGAACGGCGCGCCAGTGGCGAGCAGGAGAGAGCGGGGGATGGCCCCCGGGGCTTCCAGCAGCCCCCCCCCCTCCCTCCTCCTCCTCCTCCTCCTCCTCCTCCTCCGCCTCTCCTCCTCCTCTCCCCTCCTCCTCCTCCTCCTCCTCCTCCTCCTCCTCCTCCTCCTCCTCCTCCTCCTCCTCACCCTCCTCCTCCTCCTCCTCCTCCTCCTCCGCCTCCTCCTCCTCTCCTCCTCCTCCTCCTCCTCCTCCTCCTCCTCCTCCTCCCCGCCTCCTCCGAGGCCCTCTCGTAGGCCACCGCCTTCTGCCAAGAGTCACGCTGCATCCCCGGCAGTTGCCGTGAAGGAGGCGGGCCCGGAGGGAAACGGGCCCGGGCCCTGGACCCCATGGGGCCTTTTCCGAGGGCCAGCTCTTTTGTTTTTTATGTTTTTTTTGTCCCCCCCACAGAGTCGTTCTCTGACCATCCCGGGGCCCGTGGAGGGCCCCGGGAAACCCGAAACGGCGGAAAAAAGCTCGGGACCCGCCTCCCTCGGGATCTATATTTTTCCTTCCTGGCGAAGCCGGCCCCGCCCCTCGCGCAGCTCCACCAGACCTCGAGGACCGGTGGGTAGAGCATGCTTGGTCGACGGGGCTTCTGGCTGGGGCGTGCTTGGCAGTGCGCACCAGGGGGTGGGGGGAGGAGGGAGGGCTTCTTAGAAGGAGGCTGCTTCTCAGAAGGCGCCGGCCTTACATCTTCATGTAAGGCCCGCGCCTTCTACGAAGCAGAGGTGCTTCTATAAGAAGCCCTCCCCCCTCCCCCTCCCCCCACTGACTACCTACCAGACCACCCCAGCCAACCCAACCCGAAGACCCGAATTTTGGGTTGGGGGGGGTACCGGCTCCATATGTGTTTTTTCGACGTTCCCCGACCCCCCCCCACTGGAAATCGAAGGTAAATCTGAGCCTTCGGGTTGGGTTGGGGTGGTTTGGTGGGTGGTGACCCACCCCCCTCTGCGCGTGGCTGAGCGTGCTTGGCCCTCCGGGGCCTCTGGGGACCTCGCGAGCGACCTCCGGCCACCTCGGACTCCGGCGCCGCGGAGCAAAGCCGTGACGGCCCGTCGCTCCCGAGGTCTCGGGCTGCTGGGGCCCGGGGGCCTCCTCCTCCTCCTCCTCCTCCTCCTCCTCCTCCTCCTCCTCCTCCTCCTCCTCCTCCTCCTCCTCCTCCTCCTCCTGGCCCTCAGTAAGCGGACCTGCCCACCCTGGCGCCCCGCGCCCCGCGGTGCGCGCCGCGCGGGGGCCCTCGCGCCCTCCGCGCCGCCCCCCCGGAGAGGGGCAGCCAGCCGCTCGGGCTCGGGCCGCGCCGCGCGCCGCGCGACGATCTTCGCGCCGCCGCGCGCGAGCCAAACCCGCCACGACCGCCCGGGAGGAGGCCCTGCCCCCCCCCCCGGGAGGGGGTCGAGAGGCCCGGGCGGCACGTTTTGTCCCCGCACGCGGCCGAGGAGGTCCTCACCATTGTGCGGGGGCAGCCGTGGGGACGCCGCGGGGCCGCAGGGGGCACGGCAGGCGAAGGGGGAGAAGAAGCGCGCAGAAAGGGAAAGAGCACGGTCAGAGCGTGAAGGAAACCGCGGGGGGGGGCACGTCAGAAGCAAACGTGGCCGCGACGTCGGATGTCGAAACTTGCGGCGCGCTGCCGCGAGGTGGGCGACCATCCAAGAGGGCGGGGGAGGTTCTAAGAGGGCATCGGGCTTCTCAGAACTCCTGGCCCTAAGTTCGGGGAGACGTACGACTCGGGCTGTGGGGGACTCGAATTGGCCTACCAGCCTCAAATCTGACGCGAGCTCGAGCTCCCTCCGCAAACATCCCACGAACACCAGACCGTCAAAGGCCAAGACGGGCCCATCAAAAGGCGCAGGCAAACACAAATTCTGGCGAACTTGAGTCTTCCGCTTCCCGGGTGAATGCAAGAAGGCCCCACGCCCTTCCGAGGAAGCCGAAAGGGCTCGGGGTCTTGAGACACGGGCTCGGGCGGAATTCTCACAAGGCTCCCTGGAGGCCAGCAGTGCTTCTGAGAAGCCCGCTGCCCTCGCAAAGCCCCCCCCGTGCCCTCCCAAAGCCCGCCCCCCTCGGGCCACCCGCCTCGTGCGCGCCGCCCAGCCACGGCCGCGAGCTCTTGCTCGTCGCGCCGCGGCGGCGGCCCTGGCGGCACGCTCTGCCTTGCGAACGGATAGCGCGCCGAGCCGCCCCGAGCGGCCTTGAGCCGAAATGGCAACAGACGATAGTGATAGCGATGCTGATGACGAGGAAAGGAGGGAGGAGGAGGAGGAGGAGGAGGAGGAGGAGGAGGAGGAGGAGGAGGAGGAGGAGGGAGGAGGAGGGAGGAGGAGGGAGGAGGAGGAGGAGGAGGAGGGAGGAGGGGGAGGAGGAGGAGGAGGGAGGCTCGGGACGTCGACGGGGACTGGAGGATGGATAGCCGAGGCGCGCCGAGGCGAGGCGGGCCAGAACCGGCGGAGCCACACGCCGACTGAAAGTTTCCGACCGTATACAGTCGAGGCGTTGACCTGAGGAACCCTAAATGAGGAACGAGGCCCCTTTTTTTCATAGGTTCACCTTCGACTTCCCATCGAAAACTGAAGGAAAACCTTGGGCAAGGTGTGGAACAATTAAGGAACATCGAGCCCCTCCCCAACGAAAAGGGTTCCACACCTTGCCCAAGGCACCTTCGGCGCGCTGACTGAAAGTTTCCATCCGTATACAGTGCGGGCTCGGCCACAAGAAACCTCCGCAAGAAACCTAACCCTGAAATCCGCGCTTTGCGCAGTGAAACTCCCAATTCGTCGATCGAAGATCGTCCAGATCTTGTTGGGGGCCCGTCGAAATCCAAGAAACCCGGGGCACCCTGGCAAAATCCGATTGGTTTCTTCGCACGCGCCCCCACTGTGTAGTGTAGGCTGCCTGTCTATCTCGCCGTCCACCTGCTCCATCGAGTGTGCGATCCCGACGAGGTCCTCGGGGATCTGCGGGCTCGCCATGGTCGCGGGGTCGAACCAGTCCGTGACGCCGGCGCCCTTCGGGAAGGGGAACACGCAGCGAATGCCGGCAGCGGCCAGCTGCTCCTCGAAGGTACCTTCCCAAACAGCCAGATGCATCGAAAAACACACGCGGATTACGAGCCGTTCCTGGGGAAAGAGTTGGGATTTCCCAGGACCCCGTGTTGGGCAAAAGCAAGACATGCGATCTCTGGGCTTCTGGCGCGCAGGGGATCGAGGGTCGAGGGACAGCTGTGGGACGTGTTATCCCCTTTTGACTCTCCCTGGGCGCCTTCGTGGCCATGGCTGGACGCGGCTCCGAAAAATCGGCGAGGATGGGCCCCATGAGCATATGGCGGCCAGTTGTGAGCGCATTCGGGTCGGGTGGGTGGAGCGTGGGGAGGCCTTCTAAGTCGGCCCAGGGGGCTCTTCATACGGGATCGGAGGACTCTGCGAAGGCTTCTCGGAAGGCAGGAGGGCTTCTAGGTAGCCCCTTGACTTCTCTAGGAAACTGCAGAACCTGTACGACCACCCTTCGGGTGATGAGGAGGTCCGGGGTAGGAGGAATCAACGTCTCACGCAATAGATCTCACGGTCAGTCTCACAATGGACCTGACCCAAACGATCTCACGATCGATCTCATTGACGATCTCACAATCGATATCACTAGCGAACTCACTATCGATCTCACCATCCCTCTCACGATCGATCTCACTATATATATATATATATATGTATACATATCCATATTGCTACCGATATCATATTTCATCTCACTATCGATCTCACGATCGGTACCGATATCGAACGTACTGTCGACATGACAATCGACCTTATAATCGATATCACTACCGATCTCACTATCGATCTCACGATCGGTCCCACTGTCCATCTCAATATCGATCTCACGATCAATCGATCTCTCAATCGATCACTATCGATCTCACTAGCGATCTCACGGTCGATCTCACTATGCCTCTCACTATCGATCTCAAGATCGATCTTCATGTAGACTAGAACCACGCGCGCGCTTCGCGCACGCTCAGGTTCTAGCGCAGTCCAGGCCAACCTCACAGGATCGGATGAGCATAGAAATCATCCCGTAAGGATCACCATAGAGGAGCGTGGTAGACGCTTCCAGAGTCGCTGGAGAAATAGGCCCCAAGGGATCCTGCTGCTCTGAGCAGATACACCGAGCAGCTGCCCGAAGGCAACTTTGGGGAGGCTTGGGGATGCTCGGGACCTGCGATCTCCTGGGCTTCTCGAGAGCCCTCGAACTACCTCGGAGGTTCCTTCGGAAGTCCCTTTGGCAACCCTGGGGGCCAGCGCCCAGGGGCAACTCACATCATCGAAGGCCTGCCAGGGCCAATCGAAGCCCTCTTGGGCGCGGCCGTGGGGATCCCTCAGGCCGTCTTGCGCCTTGCTGGGAGGCGTGAACATGTTGCGCGACAAGCGGTACCAGACAGACGACGCGGCTCACTCTTCTAGTGGAGGCGACATCCAAAACGACTTCGCGCCACAGGTATGCATGTAGGGGAGATCCCCCAGCTGCTATCTAGAAAGCGCCCCGGAAAGCGCACAAGGCAGCCACGAGGAGGACACCGGGCAGCCTAAGAGGGGGGTGCTAGACAGCCCTCAAGGGCCTGGACAACCATGCCGGGAGTCTCTTTCTTTGAGTTCTTTCTGGGGGACGCTTTTGGAAGGCTCTTGCGGGTTTCTGGGGGGTGATGCCTCTCCGGCTTTTGTCAGGAGTCTCCTGGCAGCTTGTCAAGAGGAAAAGCCAACTGGGGACAACTGCGATGTTTGTGATGGTGGCGATGCTGGTGATGCGCCCACGAATTGGCGACCGACGGGACACCGACGGGGCACCAACGGGACACCGACGGGACACCGACGGGACACCGACGGAACACCGACGGGACACCGACGGAACACCGACGGGACACTTTCGGGACAGCTCGGCGGGACACCCCTGGCCACCGCGGGCCAAAAGGGGGGCGGGGGGTTGGGCCCAGCGGCGCCCTAGCCAGAGGAGGGTTCATCCCTCTCGCCCGTCTACGCAGCTTCAGCCTCGCCCGCACGCGCGACACGAACAGAAAGCGAAACTGGTTTCCCGGTGGGGTGGGCTCCCCCCTCCACTTCGATCTCACCCCCCAAACTCCGATCATAGACTCTCGACGCTCCGCGCGGATTCCTGGATCTGCGCTGGGCCCCCCGTCCTGGCGCGAAGAGCGCGCCAGGGCTGGCGCCGGAGGCGCCGCCGAGGGGGGCAGCGCAGATCCAAGGGATCCGCGCGGAGGCGGAGGAGGAGGAGGAGGAGGAGGAGGAGGAGGAGGAGGAGGAGGAGGAGGAGGAGGGGGAGGGGGAGGAGGAGGAGGAGGAGGAGGAGGAGGAGAGGAGGAGGGAGAGAGGAGGAGGAGGAGGAGGAGGAGGAGGAGGAGGAGGAGGAGGAGGAGAAGGAGGAGGGAGGAGAGAGGAGGAGGAGGAGGGAGGGAGGGAGGAGGAGGAGAGGAGGAGGAGGAGGAGGAGGAGAGGAGCGGAGGAGGGAGGAGGAGGAGGAGGAGGAGGAGGGAGGAGGAGGCGGAGGAGGGAGAAGGAGGAGAGAGGAGGAGGAGGAGGAGGAGGAGGAGGAGGAGGAGGAGGAGGAGGAGGAGGAGGAGGAGGAGGAGGAGGAGGAGGAGGAGGAGGAGGGAGGAAGGGAGGAGGAGGCGGAGGAGGAGGAGGAGAAGGAGGAGGAACGCCCGTAGCTCCAAGGGGTCCGCTGTCCTCAGCGCGCCGCCAGGCGACCGGCACCTCAGCGCCGGCGAGTGTGGAAGTGGTGCCGGGGAAGGTCTGGAAGAGGCCGCCTCTGAGGAAGGAGGAAGAGGAAGCGGAGCGCCCGGGCGTGTCCCAGCGCGACCCGCACGTCACACCAGGGCCGTGTCCTCTGTCGCTGCGCCGGCCTGCACGGGAAGGTGACACCCAGGGCCGCCCGCGCAGGTCACCGACCCTGGTGGCCGCAGTGGCGGAGGCACCCGCACGCGGTGGGCAGCAGCGCGCGCCGGCGCCTGGGCCACCTCTGGGCCTGGCTGCATCGGGCCGGGGCGGTGCCGCATGAGGTTGCACGTGCGGTGCAGAGTCGCGATGTGGGCAGCGGGCCTGGGGAGGCCATTCGGCCATTTTCGCTCTGCGGATCTGCGGCGTAGTCCTCCGCCGAGCCCAGGCCGAGTCGGTGCAGAGGGCACGCATGGGCGATGATCCGCGAGGGGACGAACACACACACACACACACACACACGCCACCACCACCACGCACCACGGCACTGCAAGTGGTGCGAAATCTGGTCCGTGCCGTCCTCGCAGCGCCAGCGGCACGCAAGAGGAGGAGTCATGGAATCAGTGAGTCAGAGGAGCCAGAGGAGTCAGAAGATTCAGAGGAGGAGGAGGAGGAGGAGGAGGAGGAGGAGGACGTCTTTGGGACGTTTTTGTTGCTGCACCCATGCGTGCGCGGAGCGAGCCGGCTCCCGCCGCCGCGCGGCTGAGCGCGCCGCGGCGCCGCGCGTCAGCCTGCGCGGCTTCCTCCTGGCCTGCCGCCAGGCCGCGGCCGCACTCGGGCAGGAGGAGGCGGATCGCGGGGCCCGCGGCCGCTCGCGCTCTCTCTGCTGCGAGGTCGGCGGCGGCTCGTCCTCGCCTGCCAGGCGGCTCGGCTCGGCGACGCCCCGCCGCCGCGCCTCTCCTGCTGGGCCGCGTCCTGCTGCAGCCTCTGGAGCCGCTCCCGAGCACTGGCTCCTGCCGCCCGCTCCTCGAGGCGGGCCCGCCACTCTGCTCCGGCGACGGCGGGCAATTCCTGCCCTCTCTGCGTCCTCTTTGGTGCGCTCTCGGATGAACCGTCCTCGCCGCTGTGGCGCTCAGGTCCTAGGAGGAGGAGGAGGAGGAGGAGGAGGAGGAGGAGGAGGAGAAGGAGGAGGAGGAGGAGGAGGAGGAGGAGGGGGAGGTGGAGGGGGAGGCGGAGGAGGCGGAGAGATGCCGCTCCTTCTCCTGCGACTCTGGGGAGGCCGTCCCCCCCCCCTCTGGGCGCGGCGGCGGGCACCGCCCTCGAGCGGCACTTCGGACAGCTTCGCCCGGAAGCCGGGCCCCGTCTCGCCGCCGCCGCAGAGGACGACGAGGACACCGCGCGGGGCGGAGCGGCGGTCCCGAAGGGCACCGCCGCCTCCCGAGAGGAACCCGGCCTTGAAGGCGAGAGGAGCAGCTGCACGCAGGAGCGGCACCGGGCCACAGCGGCGGCCTCTGGTGCGCCGCCTGCCGATCGCGGCATGCGGTGCGACCTCAGCGGCCTGCGCGCCCGGGCCTCGTGGTCCGCAGCCCCCTGCGCCGTGGGAGGGGCAGACAGCAGCACGCCCCTCTTACCCCTGCAGAGTCTGGTTCCCGCTGCGGGGCTGCAACAAACAATTGAAGTGAAGAACTATTGCTGGGCGGCCAAGTACAGTCGGACCCAGGCCTGAAGAACGTCCTTCAAGAGCATGACACCCTCCGTCGGCCAAAACAAACAGAACATCCAAGAGTACCCTCCCCAGGATGTATAAGAACATCCAACAAACACGAAGAACACGAGGGTTCCCTCCCCGAATCGATCTCAATGTTATACCTCGGTCCGACTGTACCCAGGGGTGTGCGTTATGGTTTTCAATCATGGCTGCCCGCATCTGCCCTCCAACCACCGAGCCCCCTGTGAGCCGCGCACGAAAGGCCACTCTGGCGAGAGGTCACTCACTCTTGCGCGCAGCTGCGAGGAGTGGCGGCGACCTGCTCCAGCTTGTCCGGCGCCAGGCCGAGGGGGGGATCAGAGGCCTGCATGGAGTCGAGGCGCACCTCCCAGCGCTGCCTGCCTGGGACCCACCTCTCCACTCTGCCAAGGCGCCCGTTCAGTTCGGGCCGGCCCTTCAGATTGATCACGCGAACGGCGTCGCCGCGACTGAACCGGCCTGCCCCGTCGGGCTCCCTTGATCGAGGAAGCGCAAGCGGCACAAACATCATAAGTTTTCGGAGGCCCGCGCGGATTCCTTGGGTCGGCACTGGCCTCTGCGGCGGCGCCTCCAGCGCCGCACCTGGCGCATTCCGCGCGCCCGCGCGGATTTCTAGCGTCACCAGGGGGGACGGCGCCGATCTGAAGAAATCCGCGGGGGCCTCCGAAAGTTTATGCTCATGCCGATGTGCCTTCTTCGAGTTGAGGCACTCTGGACCTCAGCACCACCTTCAGCACAGGGAGGTCCCTGGACTGCGCCGCTGCCGCCGTTCACAACGACGCGGCTGCCTCGAGGCACCAGGTCCTCGAGGCGTTCCTGGGCCAGCCCCGCGGACAGAAGATCCACGCGCCCCCAGGCGAGCCCCTCCACGGCGAAGAAGAACTCGTCTCTGACTTTCTTCACGAAGGACTCGACGGTTGCCGACGGCTCCACCGTGATCTCCTCCTGCATGTCGTCGGCGGCCCAGGCAACATACGATACCCGGGTGCGCCGAAGAGGGCGGCCAGGAAGAGGGGGGACAGCGCACCATGACCCGAGGCATCTGCGCAGACGAGGGTGGGGGGGGTAGGGAACGCACTGAGAATTAAGCAGAGGGAAGCACGAGATCTGGGAGGCACCATGGCCCCAGCCATGATATCCACACACCCCTTGGAGTTACCATACGGAAGGCACGATAAGAAACGAACGGGCTTTTCTGGCCACGGCGGGCCTGGGCCACAAACAGGCTCCATACAGGGCAAACGGGCCTGGGCCACAGGGCAGTTCTTAATACATAGGATGTGTGCTTAATTATGAGTTTAATACAGGATTAATGTATGCATAAATGTATGCATGAACTCACCGTTGTGTTTCATACTAAGCCCTTCATTGTTAATACATGATCCGCACGCGGAGCATGTTTAAAAAACGGCACTGTAGAAGTAAGGACCGACCCGAACACCCGAGCCCCTCCCGAGCCCACGGCGGTCCTATTTCAGCGTCTTGACCTGCGAGTCCTCGCTCTCCTCGACGCCTGGAGGCGTTCGGGCCCCCAGCGGCCGTCTGGGACCATCCAGCCATCCCCGGAGAGCTCTCGATGAGAAGCGGCTGCTGGAAAGCATTCCGAGGCGAGAGGACCTTCAAGGATCATCTTGAGAAAGAAATCAGCTCGAACACAAGCTTCATTATGAGATCCACTGATTTCTTGGATCGGCGCTGGCCCCCCTCCATAGCGCACCTTCACGCGCCAGGGGGACCCACCGCAGATCCGAGACATCCGCGCGGATATCCGAATGTGCATGCTTATGCCGTTTTGCTTCCTCGGGAGAAGGCCTCAAAGAACCAATAAAGGCTTCCTCCCACCCGGCGGAGACTATCAGGTACCGATACCGCTGCGTGCTCCCGGGACCTCTCCAGGGGTGCAGTCCGACCAGAACTCCGAAGCGAGTCCAGCCGTGGCGCCGAGGGGCCTCTCTCAGAGGGCCCCAGCAGGCGAAAACGAGGCAGGGGGACGGTATCGGTATCGCTTCCTTCTCTGGCCTCCTCCCCCAGAGAGCCCCAAGGCAGCCCAAGAGGCCCCCGAGACAGCCCCCATGATGGCCCAAGAGGCTCTCAAGAGGGCCCAAGAGGCCTGCACGACAACCACCAGACGGTCCAAGGAGGCCCGAAGACAGCCCAAAAGACCCCCAGGACGACACCTCGGAGCCCCAAGACGACACTTCGGGGCCCCAAGAGGGCCCCGAAGTGTCGTCTGGTCTCCTCCCCCAGAAACCCCGGCCCTTTCTCCAGGGCCAGAGTTTCCTCCCCAGTCGCTTCTTTACCTTCCCGGGGCCTGGCGAGGACACCCAGAGGCCAAGAAAAAGCAAAAAAGGCCCTCCGTTGTGTGCTTCCTGTGTGACGCGCGCGAGGCGGCCTGACTCTGGTCGGGCTTGCTGTGAAAAAGCCATGCCGACGGCGCGTCGCTTCGCCGCAACCCGAGGATGCGGGGCCCCGCTCGCAGCCCTGCCGTACCCGGGGTTCGGCCATGGCAGCGGCACAGGGCCCTCGCGCTCCAGCTGCCGAATGCTGCGCGCGCAATCCGAGCGAGGGAGGGAGGAAAAATGAGGAGCAGGAAGATGGAGGAGGGGCAGGGCTTCGTCAGGTGGTCACTTTCTCGCCTTCTCGCCTTGTCGGGGCTCCGTCAGCCCAAGACGGCCCCATAAGATGGCCCACGGTGGCCCAACAGGAACCCAAGAGAGCCCCCAAGAGAGCCCCAAGATGGCCCAAGAGGCTCTCAAGATGGACCAAGAGGCCTGCGCGACGGCCACAAGGCAGCCCAGGAGACCACCAAGACGACCCTTCGGGGCCCCAAGAGGGCCCCAAAACGGCCCAGAGAGGCCCCTGAGACAGACCGTGGAGGCACCAGACCGCCCAGGGGCGCCCTAGACGGCCCAAGGACCCCTCCCCCCGGAGGCCCCCCAAGACACGACGACGACAGGAGGAGGAGGAGCAGGAGGAGGAGGAGGAGGAGGAGGACGAGGAGGAGAAGGAGGAGGAGGAGGAGGAGAAGGGGGAGGACGACGACAAGCAGGAGGAGAAGGGGGAGGACGACGACGAGCACGATGCAAGACACCCCGACGCGTCACATGTGCTGCGGCCCCCCCAAGCCTGGGGGGGCTGCCTCCCCCTCCGGGCCGCCGTCGGAGCTTTCTCGGGCCCAGGTTGGGCCCAGAGGGGTGGACCGCATCCCGTGGCACTCCCGTGCCGGCTCGTGCTATCGATATCCAGTCCAGTCCTCCTCCCCCTTCCCCTGCCCCTCTGCAGCCCAGCGCTCGCGGCAGGACGGGACCGACGGGGCCGACCTTTGGACGCCCTGGGCCGGGGGCTCCGGCGCCGCAGCGAGGGTCTGTTTTTCCTTGCGGCCCGGGGCTCCTGGGGCCCGCGCGCTGAGAGGGCCAAGGCGTCGGAGAACTGGAGCGGGTGCTGCAGAGCGAAACGGCAGTCCTTGTTGAGGGCCTCGGGGACGGACGGGTGCGCCTTGATGTTCAAGGCGTCCGCCTCCTGGGTCGAGTTGCTCCCTGTCTTTGCCTACAGGTTGCAGGCCTTGTTCCTGAAGTTGCAGCACCTTCCGGCGCAGATGTGCGATGCTCTCCCTCCCTCCACACTTCCCTCCCCCTCCTCCCGCCTCTTTCCCTCCTTCCTCCCTCACATGGTGGTACGTTCCTTTTGTCGTCCCCTGCTGTACGCATGACCTCTCATCGTCGCCGTTGGGCTAGCAATATTCTCCGATGGAACGGCATCTTACCAAGGACAATGTAGAAAAGGAGACCCCGAGGGGGTACTTTCAGCCATCGTATGCATCATCAGTCACACTATGCGCGGGTGAGGTAAGAGAGAGTAGGAGAAACCAGTAAGAGAGAGAGTGTGTGTGTGTTCGAGAGTTATTAAATTGTACTGTACATGTATATATATATATATATATGCCACACACTGCTCATTGACCACCCCTTGGGTGAGAAGGACTGTGGGGCTGTCATCATATGTGGCTTATAATGGACGCACAGTTCAACTCGCGAGTTGACCCACACCAAGACCGCAAGATTGTTCATCCAAACCGCGCTTCAAAACCTCTCGCAACTATGAGCCCGATGATCCCTATATGGCTTGGTAGTGCTTATACGGCTCAGACGGCCTAAAGAAGACTTATAGGCCTTATACATGTACAGGAGGGGTGGAGAACCGCTGGGACAACTATAGGAAAGACGGCCATCTGAACAACCATCGGGACAACCATCGGAACAACCATCGGGACATCAATCAGGACGGCCATCAGGACAACGTGACATCCATCGGGACAACCATCGGGACAATCATCGGGACAACAATCGGGACAACCATGTGGACCACCATCGAGACAACGCTCCGGAACACCATCGGGACAAGCATCGGGACAACCAACGAGACAGCCATCGGGACCACCATCGGGACAATCATTGGGACGACCATCGGGACGACCATCAGGACGACCATCGGGACAACAATCGGGACAACCATAGGGAGTACCATCGTTCCAAGCATCAGGACAACCATCGGGACAACCATCGGAACCACCAACGGGACAACCAAAGAAATAATTTTCACACCACTACCGCCGTGTGGGGCGACTCAATTCAGCGGACGAACGCGCGCAGCTTCGCCTCGCCTCACCCCCACGCACGCTGCGCACCGAACGAAACGAATTCCCCATTGGGGCGTCTCACGCTTCACTTCGTTCTCACCCCCAACCTGCGAGATGTATTCCTCTTCGAATAGTTTTAATCTTTTCAGATCGGATCGCCCCCCTGGACCAGCGGTGCGAGAGAGGGGCAGGATGTCACATGTTAGGCGAGCGCACCGGGCTCGCCTCCTCCCCAGAGATCCGAGGCTGCGAAACACTGTAACATCGCAGCGGCAGGAGCCGCAACCACTATCTTTCTATGACGTGCTCGAGCTGGAGCGAGCCGTGAGGGTCCTCGAGCCCCACACCGGGCGAAAAAACGCCGGTGTGCAGAAACATGCGGCGGCTGGGTCTCAGCGCCTCCTCCTCCTCCTCCTCCTCCTCCTCCTCCTCCTCCTCCTCCTCCCCTCCTCCCCTCTCCTCTCCCTCCCTCCCCCTCCTCCCCCTCCTCCCTCCTCCCTCCTCCCTCCTCCCTCCTCCCTCCTCCCTCCTCCTCCTCCACCTCCTCCTCCTCCTCCTCCTCCTCCTCCTCCTCCTCCTCCTCCTCCTCCTCCTCCTCCTCCTCCTCCTCCCTCCTCCCTCCTCTCCTCCTCCTCCTCCTCCTCCTCCTCCTCCTCCTCCTCCTCCTCCCCTCCTCCTCCCTCCCCCTCCTCCTCCCCTCCTCCTCCTCCTCCTCCTCCTCCCTCCTCCTCCTCCTCCTCCGCCTCCTCCTCCTCCTCCTCCTCCTCCTCACTCTTCCAAACGTCTCTTCCTCTCCTTGGCCGCCCGCATCCTTCAGCGTTCCCGCGAGGTGGTCCACCGCGTCGGGGAGCTGCACCATACAGGCGTGGCGGCAGCACTTCCACGTCGCTGTCCCAGCCTCGGCAACCGCGGCCGCGACAGCGACGGCGGCAGCGACGGCGGCGGCGACAGCGACGACGTCGACGACGACGACGACGACGACGACGACGACGACGACGTCGACGACGACGCGACGCTGACGATAGCGTCAACGACGACGACGGCAGCGACGACGGCGGGGACGACGAAAGCTCTGCGACGGCGGCGGCGAGGCGGCGAAGACCACGGCGACGACTGGGGGGACCTTTCGCGGCCTTCGGGGGAAGCACTTCGGGCGCGGCCTAATCGACCCCTAGCAAGCCATCCCCTTCCGCGACGTCATCCTTGCCTTTCGAGCTCCACTCTGGCCGCATTCATACGTCTTGGGGCGAGGCGAAGGGGGCGTCACGAAAGGGGATGGTTTGCTAGGGGTCGGTTAGGCCGCCCCTTGAGCCCTCGTCGCCAATGCTAGGTCCGCCTCGACGTCTTGGCCAGAGCGGCGATGGCGGCAAAGAAGACTCAGATGGCGGCGTCGCGC